CGCAAGGACATGACGAAGGGAAAACTAGGTCGTTCACTAATCTTCCCTAAGGTTAAACAAAATTTATATCACTTAACTAACCTACATACAAGTATAAGGGTAAGTTAAGGGTCGAACCTCAAGGAACGGATATGCTTAAGTGCTTTCAATTAACGCCTAAGCTAGGTCAAAGTCAGAGGTGAAGAATATAGAGAACTAATACTAATGAACTACCAAATCCAAGAATCAAAAAAACTAAACACTAGGGAATGGGGATCAACATGTAATCATGATAAATGCACCAATTTGGGGGAGGTCAAGCTATATCAATAGGAATTGAAGAGTTATTTCCTAATCATTAAATTAGTTTCCCTCTAAGAGTGACAAATCAAGAGAATCACAAATCAAACCAATCAATAATTGCAAATCCAAATCAATTGGCCATGTCAAATGAATTCACAATGCAATCTAGTTTAGTCATCAAGGCCTAATCAAACTAAACACATGCAAACTTCCGTCAATCAATTTAATCTCAACAAGTAATCAACCTAAATTCTCAAATTAATCTCAATAATCAATCAAACATGTTTTACATACCCAAACCCTAGCAAACAAACTACTCACTACACTTCATCATAAAATCAAAGCATGTAATTGAAACCATGAATCAATAAAATATGAAGAAGATCACCTACACTAATGAAAGGATCAATCAACAAAACTAAATCAAACAAGTAATTAAAGAAATCAATAAAGGTGAGATAGAGTAAGAAATACTCATTGAATAGTTGAGAAGATATCCAAAGCAATTGTCACACTAGATTCTTCAATCTCTCAATTCTTCATTGATTTTCCCTCACCTTCTCTCTCTAAAACTACTCCTAATCTAAGCCTAATCTAGAGAAAGAAACTCTCAACCTAAGCCTATTTATGAAAGAGGGTTTAAAATGAAGTATTCTAAAGTTGGATTACAAAGGGGAAGTCCCGAACTATTCATAGATAAAAGAAATAAAGCGCAAAAAGTCGAGCAGGCCGGGTAGCTAGGGCAAGATAATCAGGCATGGGCACGCCAAGGAACTTGGCCGAGCTACCCATTTCTGGGCTCGGGCAGCTGGACAAGCCTTGCCCAAGGCATAAAAAATTGTACCGCGCATAGCAAAGTGTATTGTGGCACGATACTAGGCGCCGCGCCACGGTGCAAAGCGCCACATCACGTAGTATTAACCGTTGAACGGTACAGGCTACACACTGCTTCTCACTAGCACGCACTGCGCCACGGTGTTGAGTGCCATGAATCGGTAGCCTGTAACGCACCACGGTGCGGTACGATGCGTCGCGATAATCATGCCTGAAGCGCGGTACATATTTGCTTGCTTTAGACCTTGCGCGGCACATATTAGGCCCTTTGAGGCAGAGTAGGAGAGCTCGAGCAGGTGCCGAGTGCAGGCGTTGGGCCAACACTTGCCAAAAATAGCAACTTAAGCCTTTGAAGCTTAGGCAAGTAGAAAAATCTTGCCCTACGTACTTGCCCCGGGTGCTTTGCTTTGTCTTCAAGCTTGGCTCACTTGTGCTCTAGCTTCCCGAACTTGGTTCTGTTGACTTCCTTACCTATGTTTGCGATTCCTTCTTGATATTTGAATCACGGGAACCCCGACACCCTTACAAAACAAGCCAAAGAAATGGAGAAGCGAGAGAATAGCAAAGAAATGCTTGAAAAGGATAATAGAACCATTAAAAACACGCATTTTTCTAAACTAACACACAAGCACGCAAAGCAAGCATTATTACTCAAAAATACGACAAAATAAGCTAAAAACGAGCATAAAATAAGAGAGAAAACTACCTTACGAGTGCCATAAATGACACTCATCAGGACGCCCGACATCCTTTTCATCATGAACAAGACTTTCGAGTTTGGCTTATCTGAGGCCATCAACCGCTGAAGTAAAATCTTGGTCTACATCGGAGGGGGATTTTTGCCCTGTTACCCATTCTCTTTGAAAGGAATAGGGTCCTTCCAACAAGTGTATTCTTCCGATAGAGGGTTCAGAATTATTACGGAGCTAATTCTTCAGTAAGGTCAAGTGATCGAAATGCCTAGGTTGAGGCCGCTTCCGATCAGTAATATCAATGTACAATTGATGTTACAGCTTAATCTTAACTGAACCCTTCGGGTCGAACCTAATCGAATCACCGATCCGAGATGACGAATTAATCTGAAAGGATTTAATGAGTCGATAGAGTTTTACGAATATAGACGTCGGATATCGAGCCTAGGGCGTCGAGACCGAGCGTCGCAAAATCACAAAGCGACAAGTATAGCCGTAGCACTACAATGGTCTAACCATGTGGATGCTAGGCTAGTTCGAGCTAGCATGCACCTAGCATGGCTAGGCGCAAGCCTAAGCACACTAGGTGTGCTAGCGCACCATCGCAGCCCTAGCATCATGCATAGGCGCTATCGCAGCCCTAGCATGATACCTAAGCACCATGGCAGCCTATCGCAAGCACCACAAGCACCAGGCATCCCATCGCAGCTAGCAGCGTGCTAGCCTGGATGCTTGGGTGCGCATAGCAGCCTATCGCAAGCACCACAAGCACCAAGAAGCCCATCACAGCTAGCAGCATACTAGCCTGGGTGCCTAGGTGCATATGGCAAGGCCACACACACACCAAGCACAGCCATCGCAGTGCTAGGCACTGGCGCATGTGCATGCCTCGCACCAAGTATGGCAGTGCTAGGAACTTACTGATGCGTGTGCGAGTGTTGCGTGGTGCGTAGCGCGCTGCGTGTTGCGTGGTGCGTAGCACGATGCGGAGGAAGGGGCCAGCATGCGTGGCTCGCTAGCAGCACGCATGCTGGCTGTGCTAGCAATGGTGCATAAGGTATGTGTGCGTGCCAGCCTGTGCGTAGGCTGCTGGGGGCCAGTGCCAGCACTATGTGCTAGCAGCGCCCAACGCCAGCACACAGCACCAGCACCAGCCCAACAGCAGCACACACTGGCTGTCTGGCTAGGGTGTTGGGCAGCAAGGCAGTGCTAGCTGGCAGCCCTAGCTGGCACGCTAGCTGGCAGCCAGCTAGCCTTCCTTGAGCCGATTTTGTGCAAGGATGTGGGGACCAACTCAAGGCCTTGGGGAGCAAGGCATATGGTCCCCCACCTAACCTTGGCCACCACTCTTTTGCATGTGATCATGCCACTTGTCGCAATATGATTAACTTGATTATTTATTTAATTTTGAAATTAAATAAATCATTGATTTTCAACACTCCCACATTGGTGGAGGATGAAAAATCAAGGGTTCATTTCCCTATAAATACCAAGCTTGGGTATTGGGAAATGAACAACCTTAAGTGGAATTAAAAAAACAACTCTAATTAAGAGTAAACCTTTGATTCGTAAAACTCATAGTTATTTTGTCCGGGTCTTGACTAACCTTCAAGACTTAGGACGCTCGGGTCGGCTCGAGGGTACGATCTGTCGGAGATCTCGTGTTTTCGGGATTTTGAAGTAAGAGCTCTTTGGGAGCGAAGCACGCGACAAAGGTATAATTCTTGTTCTTAATCTTATTTGATTAAGTTTAATATGCTTGTTAATTGTTTTAATTTAGGGGCGGGTCTTGGTGGGTTTCCTTCCGCGTAGTGTCGGGTCACTACGAAACCCTACACTCTTCGTGTAGCTGGTTGACTATATGCCCTCCATTTTTTCTGCTTGCCGCTGTTGGGTACCAGTTCGCGGAGGGTTGTTGATGCTTTGGACCTTAGTTGATCTGTCTCCATCTCGTCGTCACTAGTCTCAGTGTCCGTATCGTGCGGCTGCTCCACGATGTTCACGGATGCTTTGGATGAGATAGTGACGATCTAAAGACGCTGCTGTCAACGACTGCTTAGAGCCGACTTTATATAGTTTTTTTTCAGAGTGACTCCGGATCTGTTTGAGAGGCTTCCTTCTCTTGGCTCAAGCACTCATTTGATTCTTGGACTGTAGCAAAGTCAGCCGCCTTAGTATTTTTTCGTAGGCTTCCCTTATTTGATCGAGGGTCATGTCGTTAGAAGACATTTATGCAAATTTGAAAGAATTATATCTGTAGGGGTGAAGATTTTAATCTAGATGTATCCCAACAGACGAGGCTAAGTTAATGCAAATTTTGTATGTAAGATTTGTGGTGGAATAAAGGTTGCAAAAGAACTAAATTAAATCTAACAAATGTAAAAATGTGTAAAGGAAACAAGAACACAAAAATTGGTGACGCGAAAAACCCAAAAAGGTAAAAATCGCAGGTAGAATGAGGATTTACCAAACTTTTACTATAGTATAGAAATAATAGAAGGAAAAGTATAATGATTATTGGATTGTGGAATACGTAAGAGATGTTGTGTGTTCGTCCAAGGAGCAATCGTCACTATATAAAACCAAGCTAGGGTTTTTGCTAGCCGTTGGAGTGCGGAGTGAAGATAGGGAGGAGTCTCTTGATTTTTGGTCACCTTCATTCATCCTTAGGAAATTTAGTTATTCGCATACTTATCTCTTCAACAGAGTTTCATGAGGCTGGGCGTAGACTCGACCTCAAATAATTATCTTTTCCTAAGAAATCGGGAATTAGTTGTTGCCTTTGTCGCTGACAATGGCTTCTATTGTTGATGATACAATATGTTGTCGACTATAGCCAGCCTGACGTTGCCGCTTACATCCCTTTTTGCTGCTATCATTGACCAACCGTATTTACATAATTGCCCTTAACAAATGTTGGGACGAATATAATAAAGTTCCACATGAGTATACTTTTTGACATGAAATCACAAAATGTAATCAAAGCGAATTGGGTGAAATAGTGCACAAAATCAAACTAAATCATCTTAAACGGATGAACTATGAATTTTGCTGAATTGAATTAAATAAAAGTTGTCATCAAAGTGACCTATACCCTGACGTTGAATCCTCGGCCGATAATCTCCCAGTCAAGCGCTCAAGGATCAAGGTTAAGAAAAATATAAACACGCAGGTAAAGTATGAAAAAATGAATTAAAATTTAATAAATATTAAATAAAAATAAAAATATTAAAAAATGTAAATAAAGGTTCACAAATTAAATCTCCCAAACATTCTCCCGATTCCCCAAACCCTCACAACAACAATGGCATCGACCTTGCGAAATCGACTGGCCCAAAAACCCTAATTCCCAAATTCTCAAATCTCATCCATTTTCTCTCTCTTCAATCACCCCAAAATTCTTCTCAACAATTCAATCACAATCGCAATTAATTTAATCTCTGTTTTACTTTTTCCGATTTTATAATATTTGATTCAATTTTGTTGAATTTGATGGGACGAAATTCTTCAGCTTCAACATCTCTTGCGCCGGGTTTTCGATTTCACCCGACAGATGAAGAACTGGTGTGGTATTATCTGAGGCGTAAGGTTAGCGGCAAACCCTTTCGTGTCGATGCGATCTCTGAAATCGATATTTACAAAGTTGAACCCTCTGATCTTCCAGGTTACCCATTTCTCGAATCTCTTAATTGCTTCTATTTTTGTAAAAAATCATAGAATTTCGTAAGTTTGGGCATTAATTTCTGAATTTCGTAATTTAGTTCATTATTGATTGGTAAATGATTGTTTTGATGATTTGATTAGTCATTTTTGTGTTCCTTTGAATATTTTAAGGTTATATTTATTGATTTTATTAGGATTGTCTAAGTTGAAGAGTAGAGATCTGGAGTGGTATTTTTTTAGTGCACTGGATAGGAAATATGGTAATGGATTGAGGACGAACCGAGCGACAAATGAGGGGTATTGGAAAACAACCGGGAAAGATAGGCCTGTTTACCATAAGTCTCGGGTTGTTGGGATGAAAAAAACGCTGGTTTATCATAAAGGTAGAGCTCCACGCGGCGAGCGTACCAATTGGGTAATGCATGAATACAAACTCAATGACGATGTGCTAGAGAAGGCTGGTTATATGCCGGTGAGGATATATCATATATGTTTGCTTGAACTTAATTAATGGGTTGGTTTGTTTCTTTATTATTAATTTATATGTTTTAGTATATGAAATGGACTATGGTGTATTGATATAGTGTTTACGTTGGGCAGGAAGGGTTTGTTTTGTGCAGGGTGTTTCAAAAAAGTGGAACAGGACCGAAAAACGGGGAGAAGTATGGAGCTCCACTCGTGGAGGAAGAGTGGGAAGATGATAGTCTGGAAGATGTGGTGCCTGCCGAGGTGTCTTTTGAAGATCCCTATGTTGATGATGATGCATACATTGAACAGAATGATCTGGAGCAGGTTTGTCTTTTATCTCCTAATTTGTCTTTTTGGTCGGATTATTTCACTAAGAATGTTTAAGAACTTGCAGAGTAGTTTGTTTTTATGCCCCATCAATACTCTTAAGATAGCTACTTAGTTTTTATTTTGGTGCTCAAAGGACTATCTTGACAACCTATTCTTTGACAAGGGAGAGTATATGCTTTTTTGGGTACATAGTCAGCACGTGACCTTCCGCTAACATGAAGATACCTTATAAGTCTTTATTGAAAGAGGTTCTATCTGGTGGATTTAAACTATTTTGTTGCTACGCTTATTAGTTGCCTGCTATTTGTGACACTAAGGTCATGACAAATCTTGTGGTATAACTGTACCTGCTTTATTTCATTGGTAAGATTTTCTGATTTTGATGGTAATGCAACCTTTGTCTGTGTCTCTTTTGTGTGATGGCTGCGGTTGAATTGACTTGATTTTATGTAAAGAGCATAGGTTTTTCCTTTTTGCTGTTTACATATTATTTTTGGCTAGAGATATGGTCATGAAGTCATGATTTTGCTATTTTGGATATATATATGGTCATTGTTGTATAGAAGTATGGCCAATAGTTAATACTTAGCTGTTTTTCTGGATTTTAAAATGTTTTCTTTTTGTAATTGCATTGCTGTTTTCAAGAGTTTTAACATCTCTTCTGCCAGGTTGTTGATTGCCAACTTCCAGCAAATGTTCCTTTTCCTGTCAGCTTCAACCCTGTTGATAGCAACTACTATCTTGAATGTTCCCATAATGTGACTGGAGCTGAACAGGCTTCCGTTGTTGGGGAGTCTGAAGGTAAGTGTAGTTTGCAGGTTCTGGATGGTCAGGAGTTTTATGATCTTGGGCAAGATGAGAACACTGCATTTCTTGTGAAAAATGAGCATATGGCTCAACCAAATGACTTGAGTAACCAGGCTCCTGGCGATTTGCTGGATGATCTACTCTCTGGGAATGCACCCCCCGAGGATGGGCTTTTCCTGGATGCTGTTGACTTTCTGGAACCTGTTCAAGAAGATACCCATGATTTTGATGTTCTTGGATCATATCTGGAAGATGATTTTGATATTGGACCATATCTTAATTTTGATTCTTCTCCAGAACAGATCAGTATCGATGCTGATCAAAGTTTCTCCTTCAAACAGGTAAGCAATGCTGCATAAACTTAACTGTATGCTAATAGAATATTATTTGCAAGCTCTAACAGTTTATTGTTCTGCAGAATATGATTGATACAACTTGGCAAGTTCCTTCAGGAAGTCAACTAAACGAAACAGGTGATGTTGATGATGTTGCATCATCTTCCAAGCAATTCATGGTAAACTCAAAGGCTAAGCCATCTAAGACTGGTGCGAACCCCTGGATATTGCTTTCATATGGCTCTGTTTTTTAATCCTGCATTCTAATATCCATTAATTTCTCCTGTTTTTCCTGTGCTGATTTTCTCTCCTAAATGTTTTTGCTGAATGTTCTTGTGCAGATATCCAATATCCTTTCCTGAGTCAGGCAAACCGTTTTTTGGGGAATATCCCTGCTCCATCAGCATTTGCTTCAGAATTGCCTTCCAAGGACGTGGCTGCACGTTTGAGCGCTGCAGTGCAGGCTTCTACCGCCCAGAATGTGACAGCTGGTATGATCAGAATAAGGGACATGCCTATTGGGGTCAGCAGAAGTGGACTGGCAGGACTACATTGGTCCTTTGACAAGACTGGTAATGTCAATGTTCTCCTTTCCTTTGACTTTCTTGAGGCGGTGAACCCTGTGGGACTTGAATCATTGACGGGCCTGTTGTCGAGCAAGATTTCTACAGCAACTTCTCACGGATGGTTAAGCTTTATGTTTTTCCTGTTCTTTGCTTTTGCTGCAAGTGTCAAAGTTGGTTTATACATCTATGCAAAGTAACAGCAATTTTACAGCAGATTGAGAAAAACAGAGAATTATGCTCTGGTCTTTATATTCCAGAATTCGGGATACCCTTAATTTTATTACTTTTGCCGTAATGGCCTAATGTAGAGTAAAGATTGATACTCTCGGCTTTTCTATACTGTTTCCTTTTGGCATTCTCGTTTATCCTTTGATTTAGTAGCTCTCATATGGTAAACATGTGGTGTATAAATCTGCAGACTGAAGCTAAATATTACATCAGATCAACTGGAAAATATTGTGTTTCTGATTGTTATTCTGTTATTTTATGTTTAAGTATCAAACAGCATCTTATGCTAATGTGAATGACGGAATTCTTAAAATTAATGTCATAATTAGGTGTTTTCATTTTATGAGGTATTCGAGTTGATTGATGTAAATTCTAGAAAGGTCCTTGTACGTAACGCTTCCCAATTGCTACGGAGTTTTAATTGTACCAATTTTCTTCTGGGAAAATACAAGTTAATAAAGCTGATATATCAACCTTAAATTTAAAAGGAAAACCGTTACTTGAAATATCAGTTTACCATATAAACGAACTATTTGAAGTAGTAATTTTACCCTAAAATCGCTATTTGAAGTAGTGGTTTTTCCTTCAAATTGAATGTTGATATAGGGAGTAGAAAGTTTGTATATCAGCCTGAGCTTATTTCTTCTAAGAGCAGTAGTGCTCACGTGTTCTTCCACTGACCTTTGATTTTGTTGCGTACTACGCAAGTTTACAGCACACATCTGTGGAATTTTCAGGTTAGCTAAGATTTTGGATATCTTTTTGCCACGATATGTCATCAATGTTATCCACGTCAGTGGGAAGAGAAAAAAGGTTTGAAAATTTTAATTTGCTTGAAGGGGATTTTTTTTTTTTTTTTTTTTTTTTTTTTTTTTTTTTTTTTTTTTTTTAAAGAAGTAGAGTTGTCAAAAGCTGATTCGACGCGAAATATTGACCCGAACCCGATTATTAACCGACCTGTCTAAATCCGAAAAAATGATGATCCGAATTCGATATGACCCAACCTGAAACCAACCCTAGACCCGAGTTAACCCGAGTATTTGAGATACGAACCCAAACATGAACCGACCTGGAGATGACCCGACCCGAATATAACCCGTAAAATATTGACTTGAACCGAACCCGACCTGAACGAAATTGACCCTAACCTGTCAAAACTCGAATTTAACCCGACCTGAATTTACCCCGACCTATTACTAACCCGACCTGGATTTAATCGACCTATTACTAACCCGACCCGAAATTCAACCTGATCTATCACTAACTCGACCCGAAATCAACCCGACTTGTTATTGACCCGAAATTAACCAGCAATGTAGGATTAATCATATCTTTTTTTTTTTTTTTTTTCTTTTTTTCCCCCTAATTTTATGAGTTATTTTCCTATTTAAGCTTATTCAAATATTTTCAATAAAATTCTCTATTATCAAATGTATTACAATTTATATGTCTCAAAAAAACCTATAAAAATTTATGAATACCACTGCTTTTTGGATGCATGTGCATTCTTTATTTAAATTTAGTAATTACGATTTACGAATACTACTACTTTTTAGGTGCAAGTTCATTCTATATTTCAATTAAGCAATTATGGTTTACGAATACTACTACTTTGTAGATGCATGTGCATTAATGTAGTCAATTATGGTTTACAAATAATATTTGACCTTAGGCTTGTTTGTTTTATCTTATATTTTATATAAAAAAAAATTCAAAAAAAAAAGTTAAAAAACGGATAATGATTAAATTGAACGTAATAATGATTGAATGCGATCATGAGTATATGACAATGACCCGATGATAATCTGACTCAAATAATTTACCTGTACCTGATTATGACTTGACTTGTGTGGACTCAAGAAAGTGGTGACCCGAACTAGAGCTGTTAAAAGGCTTTTATTGGTATTTTATTTTTATAATTTTATTATTCATTTGCCTATTTAATCTTATTTAAATGTTTTGAATAATGCCATTTAAATGTTTTAAAAAAAAAGCCATTAAAAAAAACGTGAACTCGGATACGAACTTATAAAAAATAAACAAGTTTAGATAATTTCAAATAAAATAAGTTTAGAAAAAAAAATTATTGTATTTTAACTTATCTAAACTAAACCTATTTTATCCGAATTTATATGAACTTATTGTATTTTATCTAAACATGTCATCTTGAATATGAACTTATCAGGAATTGTTATCCCTAAAATGAGTGGAATCAATGTGAATAGATTAGAATGGGGTTTGAACATATCTTCTAAAAATATAAACTAAACCTATCTTATTGGAATTAATATGAACTTATTATATATATCTTATTTAAACTTATTAGAACTTATTACCTCGAATTTAAACTTATCTGAAATTATTTCTCTTACAATAAATGAAGTAATTGACAATAATTAAACGTGAATGTCATTACATGAACTGTTAACAAACTGACCCAAAAAATGTACCCAAACATGATATGACCCGACCTGAAATCAACCCAATACCCAAATTAACCCAATATTTGAGAGCCGAACCCGAACATGACCTGACTTGGAAATGATTTGACCTGATTATAACCTACAATTATTTTGACTTGAACCAAACCCGACTTGAACCCGAACATGACCTAACTTGTAAATGACCCAACCTGATTGTAACCCGCAAATAATTGACTTGAACCGAACCCGAGAATGACCCGACTTGAAAATGACCCGACCTAATTATAACCCGCAAATTATTGACTTGAACCGAACCCGACTCAAACCCGAGAATGACTCGACCTGATTATAACCCGCAAATTATTGACTTGAACCGAACCCGACTTGAACCCGAGAATGACCCTAACCCGTTTTAAACTGTGAAAACCCGAATTAAACCTGACATATTATTCACCCGACCCGGATGTAACCCGACCTAAACCCGACCCAAACCAGATAAGATGTATGACCCGACGTTACTCGACTCAAGCATGACCCAACCTGAACCCGACCCGTATAGGTTACGACATAAACTCGAAATGACCCGACCCGAGTTGACCCGACCCACAGTTACCCGGCCCAAACCCGACCTGTTTACCCGAATTGACAGCTCTAACAAGAAGAGCTAAGAAAACCAAAGAAAAGGAAAAAAATAACAAAGCTAAAAGGACTAAAACAGAAATTCTCGCCGCCTAGCTTTAACCGCCAACCAGTGAGCTGGAGCAACCCATTGACGAGGAACCTTACACAACTTTCAAGCTGAAAATTGTGAGATAGTAAACCGAATATCTTGATTAACCAATAGTAGGAAATATCATACGAACAATGGCCACACAAAATATCAAACAAGATCGCACAATATGTATAAATAAGGAGACGATAAAAACCCTTACGAACAACTGCTTGAATTGAAGGGCCCAAAGACATGCCTGCATCTCTGCCTGGAAAGAGCCGAGGAAGAATGGCAAGCTCGGAAGCACCCACCTAGAACCAAATCCGAATAAACCTCCCTAAGAATCCAACCAGCACCAGCATGGCAGTCTTGAACCTGCCAAGCACCATAAAAGAGAAGACAAGCATCGAAAGCCGTAGAAGACTCCCCCTTCAGCCAGAAACCAGCGTCGGAAGCTCGTCGAGGAGACACAGAACCACTAGAAGAACGAGGCGAAGAAGCCTGAGCTTTTCTGCTCCTTAAAACCCAGTCCTCATGAAAAAGAAAAATCATGCTAGGAGAGACCATCGCCTGTCTAAATTTTTTTTGATTACGGGCAAGCCAGATAGCCTAAAAGAAAGAAATATAAGAAACGAGTCCTTCCCAATTCTCAAAAATGCGAAACTCCGTGATGGAGTCGACCCACCACACAGAGAATGACTTTGCCTATAACTGATCAGTAGAAAAACTAAACAAATCATCGGCCCAGAGGCCAGAAGAGAAGGAACAATCACGAAAAAGATGGCTAGTTGTTTCCAGATGAGCATGACAGGAAGGTACCATCCACCAGGAATCCACGTAATTGTAGGTTCGCAGAAAGAGGCAAAACATTATGAAGAAGCTTCCAACAAAAACATTGTAACTTAGGGAGAAGAGACAGACCCCAAAAACGTTTCCACCAAGTAGAAGAAACAACACCAGAGATCCCCGAGAACTGATGTACTTAGAATTTCCTGGTTTTAGATAAACTCAAAAATAAAACTGTTAAATTTGATTGTTACGTTGGTTTTAGTTTTGCACTAAGTTTTGTGTAAAGCGGGTGTGCGTTAAATTTATGGTAAGACGTCAATTTGTGGGTAACTTTTAATTTTCTGCTGGCTTGAATTTTATTTTAATGTCTAATTTCTTATAGATTCATGATTACATACTATAAAGGATAATATGATTAATCTAATACATTACAAGTTTTTTTATAAGAAGATAAAATTTGTTACTCCCTCCGTCTCTTTATTATATACTTATTCGGGTTTTTTCACGGAAATTAAAAAAGTTGGTGAAATTATATAAGTGCATGTGGGGTTAGAGAGAGATAGAGAGAAAAAAAAATTGGTTGGGGATAATTGAAGAATGGGAGAGAGAAAGTGCTGGAAATTGATGTAAAAAGTCATTATTAGTACAAAAAAGTGATGACAACTCGACAAAAAGTGGAGAATATTCTCAAATAGTACAACCTTAAAATAGAAATAGGTCTTTAATTCGGAAAATTTGGTAAAAATAATCCCAACTTTTGCTCATTCGCCCAATATAATCCCAACTATCGATTTCTTTTAAATAATCCAAACTTTATAGGCCATTCGCTCAAAATGGTCCCAAGTGACCGGTAACCTATTAAAAATATTTTGTTTAAGTGACACGTGTCACCACGTGATTAGTTAAGAAAATTAATATAAAAGAAAGAAAAATTGAAACAAAAAGAATCACCAACCACGTAACACCCAGCCACCCATCCGACAGCCTTGAGCCTAGCCCTCGGCCTTGACCCGCCCTCTCCCTCGCTGGTGCCGGCACCACCCTTCCCTCTTCCCCCTAACCTTGAACCAGCAAACACCCGCCCAAAAACCCCAATACCCTAAACCGAAATCCCTAAAAAAATCCCTCCCCCACCTATTAAACCCCCTAATCGACCCTCCCCCACCTCGAAACCCTTAGTCGAAATGGTTCTGAGCTTGGGGGAGGGCCGATTTGGGAGTTTTATGTGGTGGGGGAAGGTTTTTTAAGGGACTCAAAGTGGAGGTTTTGTGGTTCACGGGGTAGGGGGAATGGCGGCGTCGACGCTGGTGTGGCGTGGCGGTTGGGATCGGGGCTCTGGAAGAGGTAAGGGGTTTCGGGAGGGGTCGTGGCTGGTGGTGAGGAGGGTGGTTGT